GTCAACAGCACCCAAGTTCCAGGTTAGGGGCTGCCTCCACCCCTCTCAGATGGGTCGGCCTTGCCTCTGTCCAGAGTAAGAGAAACCGCACGCCCAGGAAGACAGTAATGGAGATGAGTAAAGTGCACAGGGAGAGGGTTCGGGTTCTGACTGAGCCTGTAACCAAGTGGCTGGATCTCAATTCCCTCCTGTATAAAGGAGAGCTATTAAATAATCTCTAAGGTGCCTTCTAACTTTCCTTGATTTAGTCCCTTCTGCTTGAGAAGCCCTCCTTGGGTTTCAGTTCCACGCTTTTAATATCCGGGGTCTTCCTTCAAGAAAAGCCAGGGATTTGGCTGGAAGGAGAAGGCAGGCCATGCAGCTCCTGACTCACTAATAAGCAGCAGTAGGGGGGATATTTGTAGGGCAGAAGAAAAGTGCATCCGGGTTTTCAAAAGGAACATCAGGAAGTTCAATACCGACAATGCTGCTCCAGAGTCAGGAATGCCTACAATACTGTCCGGGCTCAGAAGTGAATCCCCAGTGTTTCCTTTTTTAAACTTTTAAATTATTTTGCATAAAAACACAGAATTTGAAACCTTACATTTTCATTCCACGTTAGGACTCACCACCCTGTAGCACGTGGTGCCACTAGGGTGACCCCCCTCCAGCATCATCGGTGATCCCGGGGTCCACAGCTGTACCAGAGGGATAGGCAGCTTCCGTTTCCAATCTCCACCTTGCCCCACCGAACCCACACACTCCCATTTCTACTAGGCTCCACTCTGACCGGCAGTCAGTACTGTTCTCCAGGTAATAACTGATATCCTTGTTCCTATCCCCAGTCAGAGAATCAGGTATGAGAAGAGAAGCCCAGGATTTGGGTTGGGGCAGTAGGGGTAGGGATAGAATTAGGGTTAGGGTCAGTGTTAGGGTCAGGGTTAGGGTTAGGGGTTAGGGTCAGGGTCAGGGTTAGGGTCACGGTTAGGGTTAGGGTTAGGGTTAGGGTCAGGGTATGTATTTGTGGTAATTCTCCCCAGATTAAGATATATTCCTGGGAGGCAGAGAAAACCAGAAGGTATATTGGAAAAACATACATGTTAAATAGTCCATTCAATTTTCATCATGATAAAGGCACTTCCTGGAAAATGAGGAAACAAAAAAGTCCCAAGGATTTTGTCCCTTGGGTGGTGAATTAAAGTAAATAATCCTGTCACAAGGGCTCCTCTCTGAGGTTGCCAACACCTTTCTTTCTAAAGGAACTTGGAGTCATGGTTTCACAGATTCAATTCAGTTTATGAAATGAGCTGTATTAATTCACGGGCCAAAGAAGAGATAGATAGTCACATCAAGTCAATGTTCTTGCTTAGTGACTCTGGGGAAAACTAGTCAAAGAAAAAGAAATGATGGGTGAGAATGCCTTGGGATGCCCTGTGAACCCCCATAACTCTTATCCACTCTTTGACATCAGAAGCAAGCTGGAACCCAACTGCTCTCCGGGTAAAAGAGCCATGGGAACCCAATCCCAGCCCCCCCTCCCCCGGGGCTGACTCAGCCTGGATAAGTCATCGCCCCCTTCATCTCTTCTGAGATACTCAGACTCCTGTCCCTGTCTCACAGTGCAAATGGGGACAAGGGATGCGCTTGAGATGGAAGGACAGTGATGCAGCAATAAATAGGTATAAATACATCCCCCCCACCCGGTATAGAAGCAGAGGAGGAGAGTAATCGGGAAAGGTTTCTAAGAAGGGACTTTGGTCCACATACACAAAGTTAATCACAAGTTAACCTGAAAATTAAAGGCTCTAAAACTGGCTTCCATCCATCTTAGCGAGGTCAGAAATATCTGTAGGATTCGTGATCTAAGAAGTCACAAATTCCAGTCTGCAACCCATGGCCTAGCAACCTCCAGGGGGTCTGAAATCCCTTTTGTCACTCTGAAACCAGTTGTTTTAAAACAATTTTAAGATACCTAAAAGAGAATCCAGAACTGACCCACTTGTTTGGGCTTAAAGGAAAGTATAAGAAGCAAAGCAATCCTGAAACTTCCCACAGAGTGTGACATCAGTGATAAGCCGCTCTTCAGACACATGCATGCTATTATCTCACTCTTGGCGATTTTTCACTTCCAAAGGCAGTTATAAATGTTATTCGTTGTCCTTCTTCCTTCCCACCTGATCTCCATTTCCATCCGACCCTTGTTTTTCTGTTTCCTCGCCCTTCAACACCAATTTCAAGGTAGGGAAGAAAGATCACCTTTCATTAACTCCCTTTACCATTCTCATGCTCCGCAGAATCAAAAGGTGGAAGAGAAAAACAGATTCTTGCTTTTCTTGCTTGTCTGAATCAAAAGACAAGCTCAACTAACTTCATTCCATACTTTTCCTAAATGTGGTGTTTTAAGGCCACACAAGTACATCACTAAATTTTTGAGTCTTACTCTAGTGCTAACAATTATAATCATTTAGGATTCACCAGAGATAGTCCAGGATGCTGCACTTAGCTTTGAGTCAAAAATAACCAGAATGTTCCATTTCCTCTTGATTCCTTTTCCTTAGACTTTACAAGGAGGTGCCCTTTAAATCCTGAGGGACTAGAAGGCAGTTAGTGAAGGCCCCTTGAAGGTCGGGATCCACTGTGGTCCAGGGTTCCAACCTATTAACTACTGGAGGAGTAGGAAAGAGCCAACTTCTATCAGAAGAGATAGAGACTCAGTAACCACCTTCTTTTATTGAAATGGGGAAGCTGCCTTTCAATCGCATTAAGTCTAAATAACCAGAGAAACAGGTTTAGCTGAAAAGGGAAGCAGACCTTCTACACCAATGTCAAGGTAGGGAAGCAAGATCCATCACCTTTCATGAAACCCCTCCACTCTAGTCAGACTCTCAGACTTTTCCCTGAGCCCTTCTCTGTGGTGTAATTGGGCACTTTCCCCCATATAGTTTTGGGGCTCTGGGCGATGGATTCAAGCTCAGTACAAGACCTTATCTTTTCAGTCTGCTTCTGAAAGATGCATACACCTCTGTCAGATGTCTCTTTTCAGTTAGAGAAGACTGCAGGAGCCCCGGGGGCAGGGCCCCAACACCTCAGACACTATCACCCTGCCCAGTGGAAGCCAGCAGTTTTCCGAAGGGTGGCTAACTCACCTTCCCTACCATCTTTCTCAGATTTGAGCCCTAGTTTTTCCTCATCACATGTTTCTGATCTAGGAAAGATGAAGGAGTAGAGAGGAAGCACACACATTTGTTAACCTCCTTTTCCTTCTAAAGCTGCTTTCACTGCTGGGCCTTTTTGGTCCTTCAGTGTTCACCTGAGGGTCAGTGGTCTCCTCCAGCTCTGGCTCATCTGACCCCACTTTTCTTCTAGTGCCTGTCTCCAAGCCAAAGAGCCTGCAGCCTCCCACTTCCCGACCCAGCAGGCAGGAGGCAGCCCAGCAGGCGCCCTAAACTGGCTACCCACCCCCTCCTCAGCCACACAGCTCAGAGGGACAGCCAGGCCAATTCACACACAAAGCAAAAACTGGAGAGGCCCGAGAGAATTACTCTGTAGGGAAGCTGGGCTGCCACGCATCTGGAAAAGCGCCCAAGTCCCCGAAGTCTGCCTTTGGACAGGAAATGGACTCCCAAGAAATCCTGCTTGGAAACCCTTCCCCGTGAAAGCAGAGCAAAACCCACCCACTCAGACTCCCTTTGGCTATTTCCTGCTTTCTCCCCTTTTAATGCCCCTTGCTTTCAATCCCCAACCGTGGTGTTACGTGTCCCTGAACTAGGCGTGGGTATGTGTGAGGGTTCTGGCCCTCTTGTGATTTCTTCTCCATCTGAATTCTGGCTCTTAGAGCTACCACACAGTTCTGGGCCATCCTAATTCAATTCAGATTGAGAGGGTCTAATGCTGGGACGATGAACATTTTTGATTTGGGGACACATCCTTCAGATTTCATTAGTGTTTGTTGCCTTGCATCTGCTCAGGGTGGCGCGTATGTCAGGGTGTCTGTGTGGCATAGAAGGTGGTGAAGGGGTACTTGGATAAGGCTTATTCATCGGTAACCAAGAGAGAAAGTTCCGTGTGGACGTTGTTAGACAACCATGAAGACAGAGACCAGGGCACTGTAGGTGGAGGTGGAGGCTGCAGGCCCAACAGAGGACACTTAAAAAGGGCAAATGTCAAGTGAGAGGCCGCATCTCACTTCTGGCCACACAGAAACAGAATCCCTCTTTCCCCCACCCGCCCAGCTGAAGTGTTAAAGTGACAGGACAGCTTTGGGAACATCTGCTAACTCTATCTAGGAAAACTGGATTTCTTTTTTCAGGAGCGGCTACCCAACTGCTAGCCTCCCCCTCTGCCATACTTCCCACCATCTTGTTTTGCAGGCTGATTTGGGAGTGGGGGGAATTAGCTGCTTCCTGAAAGTCTCAACACTAAAATTAGCAGAATAATTAAATACAGTCCTAATTGGGTACGTAAAGAGTTCTGGGTTAATTAATGAGTCAAACTCTGGCCCAGAGTTGCAAACAGGCCTGCGAAAACCCAGGCAGAGAAAAGCCAGCTCCAGTCCCTAAAGAAAATTGTCACTTGGCAAAAATAGTTCCTGGTGCAGGGACAAGTGTCAAACGCATTCCTATAGCTGGGAGTCATCAGTCAGTCCCGCAGCTGAGATCCACATGTAAATGAGAGCAGGGAACTGGGGCTCTGCCACTGCGGGGCCACGCACTCCGCGCCGAGCGCCGCCTCCCCACACGCTGCCTCCGCACCCCACTCCCCAGCAGGCCGGCGTCCTGACATCCAAAATCGCTGATAAATAAGTTTCCAAACTGCAGCTCCGCAGGCAAGTCAGAACCGAGCCAAGAGAGAGCGAGCCCGCGCGAATTCTGCCAGGGAAACCAACATAAACGCGGTTCACCGCAAACTGCCTCCCTTTGCCGCCCTCCCACTACCCAGCCCTATTCCTCCCACCCCTCCCTTGCATTCGGCCGCCCCCAGTCTTTGGCTAAAAGAGGGCGCCAGTGCCGACAGCCACTCACCTCTGCACGGGAAACAACAGCAGCACCTGGCAAAGAGCCACCCCAGAGCGGGACCTCGGGAGTAAACCCGCTCGCTGCCCTTCATGCTGCCGCGCGGCCCCAGCGCTCCAGCATGGCCCGGGACGCCGGCAGCGCGGGGAGCTCGGCGGGCAGGAAACTTCAGCGCCGCGGCCCGGGAGCCAGCTCTCGCCCTCCCGAAGTCACTCCTAGCAGTCCTCTGCGGACACCGCGGCCGCGGTCTCACTTTCTGGGAGCTGGAGCCAGGAGGGGTGGGGCCCGGGCAGGGAAGGAGGGCCTAAGGGGGGCGGAGTTCCAAAGTCCAGCTGTTTGCTGGAGGACCCGCCAGCCCCGAGCTCGCAGCCTTCGGCAACCAAGGGTTGCCGAAGGGGCCGCCTGGGGCTGTGGCCACCGGGAAGCTAGGCAGAGAGGACCGTCTGTTGCACACCGAACCCCTGGCACAAAACCGATGCGTCTCCTTTCTGTGCAGCTTCCTTTCCTCAAAGGCCACCAACAGGGGTGTCCAACCCGCGCGCAACTCGCAGGCGGCATTCGACGGGGAAGAGTATGAATGCGGCCCAACACAAAATAGTAAATTTACTTAAGAACTTTTTTCGCTCATCAGTTTTCTTAGTGGTGTGGATTTAATGGGTGGCCCAAGGCAACTCTTCTTCTTCCAGTGTGGCTCAGAGACGCCAAAAGGATGGGCATCCTATGTGGGACAGGAGCAGATTTAGGTTCAAGGCTCAAGCATGCTTTTCCTCTCTGACAGGTTCAACTTCTCCTTCCCCTGAGCCTTCAAACACTGACAGCCTTCTCTGAATTGAAACACCTTCACTATCCCTTTTATTTTTCTCCCCTTGACATTTCATGCTAACACTGATAATAGTACCTCACTGTTTTATTGGCTCGTGGGCTTTAGTGATGTTGTTCGAAGGCACTCTGGATTTGGAGTCATAAAACCAAAGTTCAAAGCTGCCTGCCACCCACTAGCCGTTTGACCTCAGGCAAGTCACTGCACTTTTTCGATCTTCAATTTCAGCATTTAAAAAAGTATACAAAAGAGGGACAAAGGATTGCTAACAGAATTTTAAAAGACCTACCCATGGCAGTGCCCCTCAGAGAGACGCTGAATGGTTCCAGATGAGTGAATGGCTGCAGAGAAACTCCCCACGTCTTACTGCCGGTACCAGCTCCCATTCGCCACCACCACCCCACACACCCAACGGGACTGTCATTTCTTCATTACCTCCCTGTCCTTTTCTTCTTTAATTTTTTTTCCCTATTTCAAGGCCAAGCCCATTTCCCCCTCCTCCCATGAAGCCCACCTGGACCGCATCGGCTGGACCTACCTAAGAGTGAACGAGTTGATCCCTCACAGGCCATCTCTCCCATCCCTTGTGTCCAGCTCTGAGAAAGAGGGATTGCTGGAAACATGCAATACTCGTAAAGCACAGAGGGCTCATTCATCAGAAAAACAGGGAAATGTGTTAGAGGAATAAAACCAGAATCATTCAGGTAACCAATTCCCACCCAACAGAAAGAACTACAGCCAAGGGACAAGACTTCTAGGAATTACCAGTGTTTGGGGTTTTCTTTTTCAGCTTGAACTATTTAGATTTGTGCCTTATTTATCTTAAATCCTCACCTGAGGATATGCTCACTGATTTCAGAGAGAAAGGGAGAGAGACAGAAACACTGATGTGTAAGAAAATCATCAAGCAGTCACCTCCCTTTTGCACCCCAACAGGAGTGGAGGGGATTGATCCTGAAACCTAGGCATGTGCCCTGACGGGGCATTGAACCCGCAGCCTTTATGGTGCATGGGATGACGCTCCAACCAACTGAGCCACCTGGCCAGGGCTGTGCCTTATTTATCTGTATGCGGCAGTATCTGCCTCACGGTTGGAACACAGTAGATGCTCAGTAAATGATAGCAGACAACTTAATGGGTAACAATTGCTAACATGTTTTGAACATTAATATGTGCCAAAAAGTTTCCTAATTGCTTTCTATTAATTCATTTGTCCACACGAAAAAACCTTGTAAGGTGGGGTCCTCTATTACATCTGAGGAAACTGGATGAATGAACTATGATGAGGCTTTGATGGTTTAACTCTAAAGAAGAACTCTAAAAAGCTCTACATCAGAGGGAAAACGAAATCTAACTTCCAGTTCTACCTCTGTCAGCTCCCTGACGGCCTCTCTTGGCAAGCATTACATAAGGATCTCACTGTTGAGCAGGAAACGTGTCTCTGGTGCTCCACATACAAAACCGAGAAATGAAAGTTCAAATGCCTATGCAGCCTGCTCGCCAGATTCCTGATTCATTGATCATCCCAACTACTGGTCAGTCTCGTCTTGCCGGGTTGAATTACTGCAGGATCATAGTTATCCTGGGTTTCAGTTCTGACCTGTGGCAACCAGTACGATTGTCTAGTTTTCTCTTCCATGTCACCAGAGAGAACACCCATTTTGCTGTTCTTTGTACGCCCAGGTCAGAAAATGGCCAGCACCTGCCACTCTTCTAAAATTGAAATTTCTTTTCTTCTGATTTGCTGCATGGGGGCTATGACACAAGAATCAATAACTATTTGGTTTACCCGCCCAGTCCACCTCTTTGGATACTACGTGCCAGGCTCTGCTCTAGGCGTTGGGTCTGCATTGGTGCACAAAAGTGATCCCTTGCAGGGCTAGCCATTTGGACAGACTCGCCATGTACATGAGCGAAAAGGGAATCAACACCAGATATATGACCAAATTTTGAGTGGAGGGATTTAAGAAAATAGGTGTCCGAATCCTATATCCTGCATCTAGATGTTTTAAGGTGATATCCTTAAGACAATTTAGAGAGGATATGGTAGGCCAATGGTTTTTAAACACTGGTGCTTATTGAAATCAGGGAAATTTTAGCCAATACTAGGCATTAGGTTTTTTTCTTTTGTTTTTATAAAGTTCTCAGGTGATTCTAGGGTGGAACCAAGATTAGGAAACACTGATGCCTGGGTATTGCCCCCGCCCCCACCCCACCCCCACCCCACCCCCACCCCACCCCCACCCCTATCACCCTCAGCACTGCCTCAAGATTCAGACTGATTTACTTTGGGCACAGGTGGACATTAGTATTTTTAAAAGTTCCTAGGTGCTTGTAATATACAGCATAGGTTGAGAGCCACTGGTATAACGTGGTGGTTCTCAAACTTGAATATGCATTAGAATCACCTGTGGTGGGGGCGGGGCATGAGTTAAAACCCACAGTTTCTGATTCAGTGGATGTGGGAGGGACCTGAGGATCTCCATTGCTACAAGTTCCCAGGTGATGCTGATATTGTCGCTATAGGCACCATACTTTGAGAAGCACTAGCTTAGAGGATTTACCCCCATCTTTTGGTGGTCTATGCTCACTTGTTTTTAATAATAGCATCTTGATTTTTCTTTAAGGAACCAGCCCTCCTCCATCGTCAGAACTTGTTTTGAGGCATGGCTGACCACACTGCCCTCAGCCCCCTCCAAGTTTGGGCCCCTGATTTGTTCTTGGCCAGTCAGTCACAGGATTGGCTCAGCTTAAGCACATGATCCAGTTTCAGCCAATGAACAAACACTGTGATACCTTAGCAAGAACTACTGGGAAAGCAGCTTCCCACAAGATTTCTGAGTTGGTACAATGTAGGCCTAAAGCAGCTGGAGGCTGACATGCCAGAAGCACACAGGAAGAAACTCCCTGAGAATAAAGCCAACATGGATGAAAGAGATGAGACAGACAGACAGACAGACAGACAGATAGGGGAGAGCAACAGAGGAAGAGAGAATAAGAAGGTAGTTTTGATAATATCATCTGAATAACTAGATACGCTTTCCCCCAAAGTATTATGATCCCTGGACTTCATTTGAGGCCCCAATAAACTCCTTTTGGGGGGGGTATAAGATAGTTGACCATCTTTGATTTCAGGGTTTTCAAATACCTAGCCACCCACTCCCAAAGTTCAGGATAAGAACCTTGGAGTTATAGCAATATCTTTACAGTGTTCTTAATTTCCAAACAGACAGCCGAGTCTTACGCTTATCTTTGGCAGAGTTCATCTTTAGTGAGGCCTCCACCCAAAGTCCATTTTCATATGAATAAGGTGTTCTGCCTACCTGTGTGTCTATTTTATGTCTCATCTCCATTCCTCATAGCAGAAGAACCCCAAAGAATTCCTGATAGTCTCAGTCTGCAGACATACTGGCCAGGTAAACCAAAATGCTGGGCCTAATAGTGGGGACTAATAGGACTGCCCTCTCCCCGCTAGCCAGCCACAGGCTTCAGTAATGCTGGGCCATGACCTCAGGCATCTGCCCTTTGCACCGACATGTGTGGTGAAAACTTTTCCTTTAGGATTGTTCTCTTCTGATTTATAGGAACAGAGTTTTTCAAAATCATACTTCCCATATTTCTTAGTGAGAGCATAGCCCAGGGACAAAAGGAATGGCAACAGTTCCTGGACATTCCCGAGAACCTTCTTACTGTGACAAGTACAGTGCACACCTCTTACAGCGCATGCTCGAATGGGCTCGGCGGGCTGTGGGCCGTGTCCTGGAGAACACGGAGGGCAGGCCCTGTTTTCCTCACCCCACCCACTGCGACCCACCAATGACCCGCCTTGTCCTCCAGCAGTGGATCTCACTGCCAGCACCCACTCACAGACTCTCGTCCAGATTCATATCTACAGTTTTAAAAAGCTCTGCAGGTGATTTCAGTGTGAACTAAGAGGTAAGAACCCCTGACCTTGGGGCTCCAGGCCACCCACACACACTCGGGGATTACTTCCTGCATGTTGACAACAAATAGAGTTGGGGAAGCACCTGGACTCAAACGCTTTCACTTGTCCCTGGACTTACCTTCCACCGCCTGTTATGCTCTTCATTTGCCAACTGCACGCTCCTTAATCATCATCTTCCCTGTGTAGATTTCTGGCCTGTCAGCTGCCTGGCTGCTGATGCCGGGGTGGTTGACCATTTTCCCCAAATTACCATCCTGGCTTTCATTTATGAATAGAAAGTTTTAACCCCGACTGTGGCTTGAAACTCAAAGATTCTTGCCAAGTACTGACCGTGTATTCAACAAATGGTTGGTTTCTGAAAATCTACTCTCCTCAATAACCTATATATGTTTATATATATACACACATATACATACACACACATATATACATATACATATAGTTCATATACACATATATGAAATTCGTGTGACAAATATAAGGTGAATAAGACAT